AAATGGGACTGAAGGAGTGGAGCAGAGGAAGAGAGAAACAAATAATGGATGGACCCCATGGTCCCTGTGCAGTCTTATTATCTTCTTCACCTGCCTTCCCATGTGACGTCTAGACAGCACCAAGACGAATAATCAGATGGGAGAGCACAGGCACTTCCAACACGTGGTTTAAGATTTTCCGTGGAGGCGGCAGCGGCAGCAGCAGCAGCAGCAGCAGCATGGAGTACTCACACAGTTAAACAGGGTAATGGACCTGAGAGGATACATGGTAGTACATGGAGTTGGAAGAGACTCTTGTGTGAAGGCCACAGCAGGGCAGAGCCTGGGAGGAAAGAAGGGAAGAGACAGAGGGCCATGGGGGAAGCCATGTGACAGGGTGCTAGCATGAGTGATTGGACATGTCTTCTGGCAATAATGCATTGTTAATGAGCATCAGTGGAAATTTCATGTCATTTTTACTTTCCATGAAATAGTATTCTGAAGACTCTTCCTTAGCTCCTAGGCCCCAGGAAAGTGGTGGTGAACTGATCCTGGCAGACCTGCCGCGGTGTCCACTCGCCTGTGCTCTGCTGATGGGAAGCGCAGACGATGAGGGAGACAGCAGCCAGAGGACATCTAGAAAGGGGCACAATGACCCAGCCCCAGAAAATTTGAGGTCATGCTCCATTTGTGGAGCTCTAACATGCTTGACATATACCGCTGGAAACCAGTGTGCTCCCGGGAGGCAGGTATCACTCACAGCACCCTCTGGGAACTGAGCTCTGCTTTAGCTAGCATATGAAGCCAGAGCTATTCCCGCCTGGACACACTGTCCCCTCAAGGAAATCCTTTCACTGTCTGGGATTTTTCTTTTTCCTCTGAAAGGAAGAACCCAATGAAGAGGTCCTCCCAGCTCTGTCCTGCTGTTTCTAGTCTTCTTGGAGATGTCTCCAGCTGGGACTCTGACGTTCAGAATAGTGGCAAGTTACGATAAGGCTTCCAGCATGGGACTGACCTCAGCTGGAGCCACTGTCAAGCACTTCTGCATCACAGTCCTTCCTTCCTCATGCTTGCTGAGGACACGCAGGGCACAAGGTTGCTGTGCCTGTGAGGGCCCATAGCTCAGCGGTGACCTTTGCCCAAGAGAGGCTCTTCCAACTCCCTTACTACCCTCTCTGTGTCATTACCATCGTTGACTGTTTTCATGTGGACGCTGGTCACCACCCTTTTCTTCCTGATGGTCCTGGGCGGTGTCAGAGTGTCACCTCCTTGAGGACAGCTGGACCATCAGACTAAGGATCCCTGGATCCAGCCCCTAGTGAGGATCTAGTCCATCACTGTGTATATTAAATGTCAGATGACACAAGAACAGACCACACCATTGCACAAAGGCAGCCTAGGTGCTGGGGTCAAGTCTCAGAGCTAGTCTTCACACTTACAGCTTGTAGGCAAGAATACACTGAGGCCCGCGAAGGGACGAATGCTGCCAAGATGCTACAGGAGGACTGGAGCAGGCACAGCCCAGGCAGTGAGGAACAGGCTGCATGGCTGGCACAGTGCGCTGTCATACATCACACAGCTAGAACAAAATCCCAAGGAAATGCAGTGACAGTGGTCACAGGGCCACCCACTGTCAAATCAGGAGAGAGCCTCCTTCAGGTTTCAAAGGTCAAAGGAAGGATTTGGAAGGAAGTTGTCACTGCAGAGAACCTAGGGCAAGAAATGAGATTCATGGTTTCATCATCTAGTTCCTTCATCCAGTCCCTCTGATCCATGGCTGCCTCTATCCAAGCAGCTGTTGGCACACTAAGCATTCTGAGGAGGAATGGACCCCTAGTGATGGGATTGAATAGTCTGCGAACTCCTGGGACTGAGAAATGAACGCTTCGAATGGGAACATCAACACCCCAGCTCCTGGCTGGAAGGACCTAGGCCTGACAACACCAGCAGCCCTTCTAAGCTGAAACTCAGGGTTTCAACCATGACATGACAGTGAAGAGGGGTCAAGGCCACAGGCCATGCCCAGGATAGTTATGACAGCCATAGTCTTTGTCATGTTGTCTAACTTATCTACCATCCAATTCTTGCTGGGCTGAGGGTTTTGGGCAAACAGCTATAGCCACAAAAGACAGAGTAGAGAGGAGGACCTCCCCTATCAGAGGACTTGGAGAGGAGTATGGGAGGAGATGAGGGAGGGAGAGTGGAATTGGTAGGGAATGAGGGAGGGGGGCTACACCTGGGATACAAAACGAATAAACTGTAATTAAAATACAAAAAAAAACCCTTTTAGTTAAAAAAAAGGCGCTTTATTTATTTATTTATTTTTGAGACAAGAATTTTTCTGTGTAGCCCTGGCTGTTCTGGAACTTGATCTATAGCCCAGGTTGGCCTCAAACTCACAGAGCTCCACCTGCCTCTGCCTCCCAAGTGCTGGTTTTAGAGGCGTTTGCCACAACCTCCTGGCTGATCATTCTTACATCTCATGGGAAAAAGGAGAGGGAGAAGGGCACCTAGCTTGAGGTTGTGCTTAGGATTTTCAGCCACAGTCTCTGAAATTGGTCATGTCAGTGTCCCTAATGCAGTAAACAGAGAGGTTAGTAAGGACCGATTGCTACTGACTCCTGTGCTGTGTGTGCTTTTGTAACTAGTGACAGAAAAACCAAATCTCCACAGCTTGACTTCCTCAGAGCCCGTCAATTTTTTTTTTTAAATTTTGCATTACCCAAAGAATTCACCGTCGTGCAACTTTGTAGCTCTGTTATTGTGAAACAGATTGAATATCTACAGTAAGGAGAAAAAAAGAAAACAAAACCAAATATATGCATGAACGACTACGCCAAAAATCCCTCTTACATCTTACGGGCGTGTGTACATCTAATATTTGGCAATTTCTTTTTTACTTTTATCATGCTTCAAGAAATTTCTGTTTATAAATGATAACTTGTAAGACGAAAAAGCTTTACCTGAGAGCGCAGACCCACACATCACTCCTTATCCACGCGAGCGCAAGGCCCGCCGGGTATCTGAAGTGAGCAGGCGCAGTGGCTCGGGGGCGTGGCCGGTTTTCCCGCGTGCGGAAGCTCCTCCTGTGAAGCAGCAGTTCAAATTCACTCGCCGCGGCCGGGCTTGCTTGGCAGCTTCCGCGAGGCCGTCCCGCGGCTGAAGGCAGCGCTGAGGGCCAAAGCGGCGAGGTGAGAAAAGCAGGCGCGGGCGGAGGCCCAAACTGAAGAGGCTGCAAGCCTGAGCCGGCCGAGCGCGCCGCATGGCCGGAAGTGGGGGGTGGAGACGGCGTGAGATTGATGGGCAAAGAACCAATGCGGGGGGCAGCCCATTGATGGCGGCGCCTTCGATTGAAAGTGTGTTGCAGGCTGAGTTCCAAAATTTAGAGAAGCTGTATTAAGCGATTTTCAGGTGCACATTCACCCGAAATACAATCTGGCAATCTGCCTCAGGGCCTATACTGTTACGTGCTTGACTGTACTGCCTTTTTTTTAGGATTCCGGAAGGACGATGGGATGTATGTACTACATTGGTGATGAAGTGGCATAAAGGTGGGAGTAAATAATAAATACACGGTTCCTGCACTGCCTTCAAGTGAAGCGTGCAGTTTCATGTGCAGGGAGTCCCCATCTGCCAGCAGCCCAGGTTCCTGCTTTTCCCAGACATCGACATTGTTCACCTCCATGGGCATCGCTCCAGGAAATCTCCTTTTTCATCTTGCTAGTTCTCTGTTGTACCTGATGAGCTTGACTGAGGCAGAGCTGCATGGACCTGGGTTAAATCCCTGCTTTTCTTCTTGGAAAACGAATGTTGTTCCTTAACACCCCAACTCCTTCCTATTGGACATTAAGCTCAGGGCTACTGCTAGGCAACAGGCCTGCTGTTAGTGAACCGTGTCCCCGGCCAGCACTTATTTAATTTCTGTAGCATCATCATCGTGCAGCCCTGTTCTGTCATGTTATAGGTTAATTATAACTAAAATAATAATGAGGGGAGACACTGCAGAGTTCTGATACATGTCAGATGCTCAGAATTTGTCGGTTTTTGAAAATTACTTTTATTTTACTCTT